AAGGCACCAGGGCCCAACAGTAATAAAGGAGCAAGGATTACCTTCTGTGCAGGCTGAAAAGGGAGTTAGTCCTGCCTTTCATCACCAGGAAAGTGTTCTCTACCTATTTTTTGGGGCAGGAGAACTTCCCTTTGTGCTCACCCCTCTGCCCCACAGACATCCCTAATCTGTAGGGGACTGATTGGTGGTTTACAATTTATGTGTGGGAGTCAGGATGCTTTTAAAGGAATCTCCAACTAAGTGACAGCCAAGCAGAGAAAATGATACAAAGACAGGCACAATTAACTTGCAATCATTCTATCTCTAAAAAAGGGCACTATTTGAATTATGAATGGACATAATTACTTGCATTTGCTATATAGAATCATCTTTCTCAATAAAATAATACTGTGTAAGCAAAGATAAATTTTATGGTATGGAATGGGTCAGGGAAAGAAAATATACATTTTACCAAAAATAAAAAAAATCCTATTTTTGCAGATTAATCTAGCAATACTAAAACAACGCACGGTGGTTTTTAATTTAAGCAAAATAATCAAGAGTATTTAATTAAATGGAGGTTTTGTCATACAGAACATTTGAATACTTTATTCCACCAGCAAAATCTGCTGATGCATTTGGGAGGTCTCCGTCTCTAAAGCAGACAGACACAGAACCTGGGTACACATTGCCATCCTGTGGAGCCTCCCCGACAGCGCATGCTGCAGAGACCTGAAGGCTTGCTTTACTCTGAAACCCCTCTGCTTGGAGCTGCTATTGATGTTTAATATAAAAAAACTTTTCTAAGTCACACAAGCAACAGAGAGCCTCACACACAGGCTGTGCTGCTGCCAGATATAATTTTACAGTCCAGGGCTGCCGAATCTCCGTTGGGATATCTTAGCAGCAAAGACAAAAAAACCTTTCACCCTTAAAGCGCTGCTTCAAATCAGAAGTAAAGCAAATAAATACACTTGTCTGTTCCATTTTACGAGAAGTACATAACTGCTAAAGTGCTCTATTTCACACTTAAAACCACACTGGACAGGCAAGGTGACTGAACATTTATTGTGTATTTTTTAGGGTAGATTTGAAGAAAAGTGGGCCAGTGGGGAAAAGTCTGAAGCTCTCCTGCTTAAGAATTGGCAATTTTTTACACACAGACACTGTGCAGTTTTGTCAGCTTGGCGAGCTTCCAAACGTGAAATTCCTTTCAGAAACTGAGATATTTATCAACAAGCTAAGATGAGTCACAGAGTTCTTTGTGGAGTGATTAATGAATACCAAATAAAGCAAGCCACAGAAGGATGAGTCATATCACCATAATACTGAGGAAATAAAAAATCTGGCCCTTCTGGTTTTCACTCCTTTTGTGGCCTTTTCTTTGCTTGGTCCCTGTTTATTCTCATCATTCAGAGAAATTTCCAGCCAGTGCACTTCAACTTCAGTTTCTTTAATTGATTTCTTTCTGTAGAGCTGATTCACAGATGAAGGAATTTTTGTCCACCTGATATGGGTATTAAACAACATCCAAGCTGCAAACTCACTATTTTTTTTTCTCCTGAGTCAACTAGTGTTAAAGGCTAAAGAGTTTTGCTATGAAGCACCAAAGTCCAGTACCCTTTCCAGCAATGTTACTACTTAAGAAGAATCAGAATCATAAACAGAGATGTCAGAAGTACATGCTAGTAAGTTACATGTACTTGATACATCAAATATATTTAAATTTCATCAAACTTCTAGACAAAACTACACCTACTGATTGCAATTCCATACAGAGCAACTACATCTTGCATCTCATACTTTTATCAATTTAATGACTTTCATTCAACTTTTTATTGCAGTGTTTTTTCCTTAACATTTGCCCCAAGGAGGGAGTCATATAATTTTTTTTCCTCGTGTACCTTCTTAAAGATAATCATTGCTACCAAGAAGGATGGGCCCAGTGAAATTAGGAGAAAAATGTTCAGAATTCCAGTCACAGGTTGAGTTAGCAGAGAGGGGAAAACAAACAAACAATCAACAACCTGTACCATGAACTGAGCGATTTTGTTACCAGCATCACTGAGAGAATAAATACACTGTCACATAATGTCAGTGATTCAGAATGAAGTGTTATAAATGTCAGTTCTTATAAACTGTGGTGGCAGAGGTTAGAAAAATATCTTGGGGTTTTTTCCCGATCACTGTATAAAGCTGATTCAATATATTCCCCTAATTCCAAAAGTTGTATCTAAAAATAAAAAATCTTTGTCATATTCCCAAAGCACCTCTTGCAAACACCATACATTATACTTACACAGTGAACTAGTTACTGGTGACAGCTGGTAGAGAAGTTTTCTCCATATATACAGTCAGTTCAGAAATGTTCCTGTGTGTCCAATATATGGGAACAAACAAAAATCATTTGTCCCAGTAACATTCTTGTGCATCTCAGTTCCCTTTGAATACAGTGCAACATAAAGTTAACCCCAAGACTTCCACATCTGCAGGGACAAACAATATATCGATGCTGTGTGACATAAACTAAGCAAATTAGAAAAGAGCAACCAGAACCACGCAAATTGGGATAAATAAAAGCCAAAATCAGTGTATCAGGCTGCCTGTCACATACCTGTCTGCAGTGGTGTGTTCTGCCACCTGAGAGCTGGGTTTGGTTTTAGCACTCACCAAGAAGCACAGCAGAACATGCACAGTGAGACGTGATTTTGCAGTTTCTAAGATGAAGGTACATCAATACAAAACCATGCAAAATCTTTACCCAGACACTCATCACCACAGCCAAGAGAATCCAAGAGGATCTAAGGCTTGGACACAGAGAGCGAGAGAAGCTCTTGAAGGGAATAGGTGCACATAGAAGATAGGGACCAGGAGGCTCTGCAGAAAGATCCTGTTTGAAAGCAGAGCAGGCTGGCATTCACCTCCTTTATTCTTTTATTTCCCCCCAAAGACAGTCTCAGGTGTGTCTGTTTAAAAACAGCAAATTGAATTGAGGCTGTGGGCCTGTAATATCATCAAGCACAGACCATCAACCGACCACAGAGGCCAAAAACAGCAGGCCCCTCATCTGCCTTCCACAACAGTGGTGTAAAGAGATTACCTCTGTTTTTAAAAGAATGCAATTTACCCAGGTTTTGAACAGTGTAACCGAGGGCAGATTCAGCCCAGCTTGCTCAGTGGCCACCAGGGCTCACAATACACATGCAACGATGCCCAGATGTGCAGTGAAGTTTGAAAAAACATGCTCTGCCTTTTTTACAAAGTGTGTACAGTGAATATTAAACAACCTCCTGAAGTTCACTCGCCCAGAATCAGCACTGAATCCCTATTATACACTGCACTATGTGGAATGCTAATGACTATTTAAACTAATTCAGAGTGGATGTGTAAAGAGCTAGGGCAGTGACAGGGATGTAGTGTATTATAAGTGCAAATTGTGATGTACCTTTATATATATTCCTTTTCTTTCCTCTTTATTTCAAGCAGATTTTTTTTGTAAAAAAATTGGCTGTTTGTGACAGCCTTGGAGGACAGAAAATGAGGTTTTCACATCAAAATAGTTAATATACCCACAGTCTAATTTTGATTCAGGAAAAAGGAAAAGCTGCCATATACTAGAACTATGTCAAAGGCTGGGGAGATGGACTGAATCGTCAAGAAAATGGATAGGAAGTTTCATTAAAAGTGTGTTATATGGAAATTCCCTGTAAGCCACAATGCTTTGTAACCTCATACCTGCGTTCTAAATATATTTGCATCAGATTTCAAAGAACTACAGCACCAAAGTATTAGGAAGCCTTAGCCAGGCAACAGCAAGCAAGTGATGTGACAGCCAGTTATTTATGTAACTAGGAAGATTGTATACACAAAGACATACAATCCACATTAGCATATCTCACTTTTTCCTTCTATATTCTGAAAAATACCACAGCTAATACATCAATCAGCAGTAGAGTCTGAGGACTTCATTTTCTGCAGTTCACTACAGCTTCCACTTATTAACTTAAAAATGGGCTAGTGTCTTTTTTAATTGGTTTTTTTTGTGAGGCTTTTTGGAGGTTTGTTTTTTTTTTTTTCTCTGGAAGGGTTTCTTGTGGCTTGAAAGAACCAGCATTCAGATAATACTTGTCTCAGGCTGTGGCAAACCACAGTTAATAGGATCTACTCCATTCTGGTTTGGTGCCTCTCTTCTCTCAGAGGGGGTATTCCCCAAATCACCACTTCAGTAAATCCTAGTCTAAAATTAACTCATTATTGGATAAATATATCTCCTGAGGAATGCTGCCTTGAAGAGGCAGTCATAATCTAAATTTTTTGTTGTTGTTGTTGCAGAGGGAACTTGCACAAAACTGAAATGAACTGTGAATTCTCTGACACATACACTGGTACAAAAACATGAGCACCTGACAACAACTGAGTATCCAGAAGAACCTACTTGGTTTCAAAGTAACTTCTGCTCTGCCTGAAGAAGCAGCAAGGACTTCCAAGAAGCTGCAATACTTTCCAAGAAAAATGCAAACTTATTGCTGCTATGGCTTTGCAAGAGGCTCAGAAAGTGGAAGGGCTTGAGAGGGGCTGAATCTTGCTGAATGTATATGCAGTAAGGGAGGGGGGGAGGGAGGAAGAGCCAATTCTTTTAAACCCTTTAAAAAAAAGCAGGTTGCTATCTAGCTGTCCTTGATGTTTACTCAGTTTATAGCATCCTTTTCCCTGATTAAAACAACAGGGAGTTTGTTAATTTTTTTATCAAATGCATAACCTACTACTTTATCGCCCTGTATAAACAATTTTAAAACCAGAAAGCTTATTTTAAAGATTCATTCTTTCAAGCTGCAATTCTGGGAACAAATTCTGAGCACAGAAAGTCAAGAAAAGCTCATGTTGCTTGCACACAACTCCTGCTAAATACATTCCAACAGGCCTTTATTTTACATCAGAATTGCATTTTAGCAAAACAATATATGCCCACCTCTGCCTGGGTTAAAGGCCCTAAGGTGGTCTTTCATAAGAATGCCACCTAATGTCATCTCAACTTCATTTTTATTTTGCTCCAGTCCTTTACCTTTCAAGCAGAATTTCTTTCATCGATACCCAAAACAGTGTTCAATTCAGAAGTCAGATTAAGTGTTCTAAAATATCCCATCTAAGAGTAACCACAGGCACATTCTGTGGAACAGAACACCAGTATATTTTAAGCACAACGTATTTTGAAAAGGAATTCACAAACAGAAAATAAAAGAGCCCCAACACAAGCTAAAACTAAGCCTGACATGGAACAGACTTGTCCCTCTCCCCTACAGAAACAAGCCAGAAAACAAAACATAACAGCCAAGAAGAACAGCAAAGCAAATGCCAGCGTGATCATCATTTTGCTGGGATCAATTTTTTCTCAAATTTAAGGATTTCCAAGACCCAGATGATTTCAGATTTTAAAAAAAATCTGCATGATCAGCATTCAGGAAAAATAATTTCCACTTTCCTTTTAATTTTTAATGTCTAATTAATAATTAATATGAGCACAATTATGTTTATTTCTGCTTCACGTAAGGAAGCCATCACCACAGTTCCTACACATTTTCAAATCTTTAAGTCATTCAATGAACACTTCACAGTGGACCCTGATCCCTTTATGTCTTTGGTGGACACTTAAGCCAAGTATGTGCAAATTCTCATTTTCTTGCTGGTTTCTTTCATTCCTGGACTTTCTATTAATATAATTCTGTCAGCAGTAACACACACACACAAAAAAAAAATAATTCCTATCAGGCAAGCACTGTAAATTGCAGTATAAACCTCCTTCAAGAACCTTCCTCATCTGTCCAGAGCTGTTTAACCATGTGGCTCTTCAGAGCATAGCTTTCTCATCAAGCTCTAAATGGAAAAAAAAAAAAAAAAAAAAAAGGATTAAGGACTCTTGAATGGATACTAGAAGTCAAATAAGAAACTGTGGAGGATCATGGAAACTATAGCAACCTTCTGGTAGTGTATCTGTTTATAAAAAGAAAATAAACTGCAGCATTTACACCAGATAAAGCTGGTGCCTACCACCAGCTTCAGATATAAATCATTACAGCAGCTTTGCTCAGGTGATCATAGGGAAGGTTTATTGTCAGTAGTTTCTTGTGATAAAGAAAAACAGTTCTTGTCTAGTAAGACAGACATGAAAAAAACATTTCCTCGGTCTTCATATTAACTCAGAGCTTTGCAAGACTCATCTTTGATAATTGAAGGCACTTCTTTTCTTCAAATAAAGTCAGTGTCATGAACAAATCATTATCACATATAATTTCTGAATAGTCTCACTTCCAATTCCATTTATCTTAATTTTTTTCTTCTCTGTTTTCAAGTGTTATGTCCAGTGGACATTCTAACACCCTTGAGGAGGAGCCATTTTCAAAGAGACATTTCTACTAACAAACAAGTAGTGCAATTGATTTCCATTTCAGTGTTAAGTATTTAATAGTTATCAAGTAAAAAGGCACAACCACAGAATAAGCAAACCAAAAGGCAGCCAAACAGATTTTGCTATTTAGGCAGACCCTGAACTACCCTGGGATGTCTTGGGAGCCCACTCAATAGAAGCTTGTCTTGCAGGGGCACAGCATGCTCTGCCAAGAGACTGCACACAGCTGGTTTGGGGCACAAATGTGGGGTTTTGGGTAGCCAGGGGCTGCAGGGGTGCCCTGAGGGGAGGAATCCATGAGCAGCCACAGCCACCCCAGCTGGCTCTGCAACCAGTGTACATCCCATGTGTGTGCTGGTTTAAAGGTAAACCAGCAGGGGAAATGAACCCAACTCAAAAGAGAGATTATAAGTCAGAATAGCAATTTAATAAAATAATACAATAAGTACAATTATACAGACAAACAATTGGTTTTAACCCACAAAACCCAAATGTATAACCCAGCACCCTGAGGCATGAACAGAGTGGTGTTCTTTGGGTTTACTGAGTCCAAAGTAAAGGGAGAGGGGAAAACCTGTTGGTGAGAGTGCTGGTGCAGCCTGGTCAAGAGTGGTGGTTGCAGCCTGGTTGAGAGTGGTGGTCACAGTCCTTCTCTGGATCCCACGAATGGTTAAAAGGTCCCAAGACTCCAAGATTATCTATCCTCTGATTCAGGCAGGAATGCCCAGTGCCTCCCACAGGGCGGGGAGTTCCACAATGGGTGTGAGGACAGGAACACCCTCTTATCTCACAGTTCCACAATGGGTATGAGGATAGGAGCACCCTCCTGTCTCCCAGGCCCCCTTACACCAGTTTATAGCCTGAGGAGTCAGGCTCTATGGGTAGATGGTGTAAATGGTTCATTGGTAACAGTTTCTGGGCAATGGCATGGAAGGCTCTAGAATACACAGTTTTGGGTTACACCCATCCAGTGATGAACTGGTCCCAGCTGTTCTAACTAGGACAATGTCACACACCAAAACCTCCAGCAACCACATGTGCCTCTGCTCAGACATGTCTGAAAAAGAGCGGCAGCTGCTGAGAGAGGAGGACAGAGACACGTGGACGGGGACACTGCTGGGGGCACAGAGGGACATGTGCTGCTCATGGATGCTCCGTGCCAGAGGGAGTGCAGCCCACAGCCAGGATGTCCTGAAGGGACTGTGACTCACCAGTGGCACACACTAGGATAGGGACACCCCTGGAGAGCCACAGGCCACAGATGATCATCATCAGCACAGGGACATTTCCAAAGGGACTGAGAGAGAATATGTACCAGGGCAAGAACTTCCCCAGAGGGACTGTTACCTGTACATAAACAGAACTGGAGGAGAGGAAAACAGAAAGAAAAGACTGGCAGAAGAAAAAACCACACTAGGTGTACCCAGTCCCTCAAATTGTGGCTGCTTTGCTCACAGCTGGTCCCTGAGTGCAGTCCCACCAGCTCAGGATGCTCTTACAAGAGAGCACGTGAGAGGTACATGAAAGGTGAACCCCACACCAGCTCTTTCTGCACTCTCAAAGATGATGGTTTC